ACCAGCGGCTCCTCCTTGGTCTCCAGCTCGTCGGCCTCCTCCAACCTGAGCCACCTCGAGGAGGACACGTGGATCCTCTGGGGCCGCATCGTCAACGAGTGGGAGGAGTGGCGGAAGAAGAAGGAGAAGCTGCTGAAGGTGAGTCCGCGCAGCGGCTCGATGCCGCGGCAGAACAGCGGTGGGTTTCCACCCCCTTGTCCCCTCTCTGGCTTTTTGCTACCGGCTTTTCCGCAGGAGCTCATCCGGAAGGGGATCCCCCACCATTTCCGCGCCATCGTCTGGCAGCTGCTCTGCAGCGCCACCGACATGCCCGTCAAGAACCAGTACTCGGAGCTGCTCAAGATGTCGTCCCCCTGCGAGAAGCTCATCCGGAGGGACATCGCCCGCACCTACCCCGAGCACGAGTTCTTCAAGGGGCAGGACAGCCTCGGCCAGGAGGTGCTCTTCAACGTCATGAAGGTACGAAGCCTCCTTAGCTTCAAGGAGGCCCCAGGGCCCATCCAGCACCCAAGGGAGACCCCAGGAAGACCCCAAGCTCAGCGCAGATGAGCTACGGCCTTTCCCAGGCCTCCTCGTCCGGCCCCAGGTCCTCCGGTTTCACCCCAGGGTGTAAAACCATCCCCACGTGGCTCTGGCATGAGACAGGACCATTTCCACCCAGCTGATCTCACGGCAATGACGATGTAAACCAGCTAAGCCCTGAATCTCTCCCTTTTTCAGCCGTGAAAGCCACGGGATGAAAGAAATTCCAACTAGGGTGGTGGAACTGAAGAAACAAACTGCACTTTTCCCCCAAATGGGTTTCTTGTGGCCTTTGCTGCAGAAGGCTGGTGCTTTTGCTGGATATTAATGTTAAAAGCTTCTGGGTTTCTTGCGGGTTTTGTGGCTCTGCGTGCTAGGAGTGGGTGAAAATGCCCCGTTCCTCGGCGAGCAATGCAAACGTTCCTGGAGCTCAAAACGCTGCATCCCTGCGTCCGTCCCAGACCGTGCTTTTCCCGTTGAATTTTCCCCCGATGAGAGGAATGGGATAGTTGGTCCCAAGCTTTTTTGGTCTGAACAAAAGCCGACAGTAAAAACATACTTAGGGGAATGGCGTCAGCCTGAAAAAACAAAGCCACTGGGCACCTCGCGGTCCCTGGCAGGCACGTGGGGCCAGCCCCGCTCAGCCGCCCTCTCTTCCCTTCAGGCTTATTCCCTGGTGGACCGGGAGGTCGGATACTGCCAGGGCAGCGCCTTCATCGTGGGATTGCTGCTCATGCAGGTTTGTGCCGTGCCGCTCCTCACTTCTTTTCCCGGCTGGAGGAAAAAAAAGCGGCGGGCGGCTCCGGGGCACGCTCGGCAGCTTTCGGATGCTGCTGCCAGGGGTTTAACGCTGTCTCGGTTGGACGCCAGATGCCCGAGGAGGAGGCTTTCTGCGTGTTCGTGCGGCTGATGCAGGAGTACCGCTTGCGGGAGCTCTTCAAGCCCAGCATGGCCGAGCTGGGGCTCTGCATCTACCAGTTTGAGTACATGCTGCAGGTAAATGCCAGCCCCGACCTCGAATCTGCCCTGGGATAAGCCCAGCGGGGGAAAAAACAACCCGCGGCTTTAGAGAAGCCGAAACACCGCGCGAGCTCGTGGGAGAAGCCGGCACAATCGGTTGCAACAAGGGAGCTCGTCTCCAATAACCCGGTGGCACCTCAGGTGGGCAATTGCCCAATAATATGTTTTCCCCCCCCGGGTTTCTCTCTCACATCCAGGAGCAGTTGCCGGAGCTGAACATCCACTTCCGTTCGCAGAGCTTCCTCACCTCCATGTATGCCTCGTCCTGGTTCCTCACCCTCTTCCTCACCACCTTCCCCTTGCCGGTGGCCACGCGGGTCTTCGACATCTTCATGTACGAGGTAACGAGGCCGCGGCCAGGCCAGCAACAGCAAGGGCTTCCCCGGGGACACGATCGATGCAAACGTGGCGCCACTCTCCCGCTTGAATAGAAAGACCCTTTTAGACATAGCCCAGAATGAGAAAACGCGAGTTTTCCCCTGCCGCGGTCTCGAAAGCGTGGCAAAAAGCTGTGAATTTCTTAAATCGTTGCTCTCTCCTGAATCTCAGCTCTGCTTGTTCAGCGGCAATAGGCCAATATCAAACCTGGATGTTTTCTTTTTCTTTTTTTCCCCTCACTCTGGGTTCAGAGCGGGGATAAATAAGAGCCACTTTCATATGAGCTGTGATGGAAACCCACCACACATGGCATTAGCCGGCCGGGAGAGAAACCAGAGACTCCCAAACTCGTGCACGCTCACACCGGAGGGGCCAGGGTGGGTGCAAACGGGTGTCCGAGGCACCGCCGCCTCGAGCCTCCCTTGTGCCTCATTGCAGGGGCTGGAGATCATCTTCCGCGTGGGCATGGCCCTCTTGCAGTTCAACCAGGCCGAGCTGATCCAGCTGGACATGGAGGGGATGTCACAGGTGAGAGCATGCAGCGGGCCGGATTTCAGGGCGAATTCGCAGCCTGGGGCTTAGTTTGCGGTCGGAGGGCGGCAGGATTCACCCTTGGTGTCGCCTCCGCAGTACTTCCAGAAGGTGATACCCCACCAGTTCGACAGCTGCCCTGATAAACTCATCCTGAAAGCCTACCAGGTCAAATACAACCCCAAAAAGATGAAGAGGTGAGTCAGTTTGAGCTCCTCCGCTCAGTTTTGGGGACCAACAGGCTGGCGCCCCTCTCCGTTGTGCGAATGCTGGAGCCACTCCACAAAAAAACGGAATCTGGGGACCGCCTGGATGTTGGGCACTTGGGGTGGCTTCAAGCTCGATGGGGAAAAGCCCCGCCAGGGAGCACCATGCCGCTGCGCTGTGATCCATCTCAGGGTATCGGAGGGGTTTAATTCGCCACGGGGGGCTTGCCGGGACGGTGCGGGTGATGGCGGGTGCCGCACGCGTCTTGCCCCACGCGTCTCCTCCCTGTGTCCATGGCAGGCTGGAGAAGGAGTACGCCGCCATCAAGAACAAGGAGATGGAGGAGCAAATCGAGATCAAGGTAGGACCTTTCCTCCCTCCGTCCTGTCATGCAGCAGCTCAGAGCTGCCCAGGCCACCCCGCAGTGGGCACCGTCAAGGTTTCCGAGCTGATTTCTTCTCTCTTCTTCCTCCCCAGCGGCTCAGGACCGAGAACCGCCTCCTGAAGCAGCGGATCGAAACGCTGGAGAAGGTGAGGGCCCTGGCGCACCCCGTGCTGCTCCGGCTCCCGAAAGTCTCACCCGACCCGGCTCTGGCTTGGCACTGCACCTGGGAGAAGCGGCGCTGAGGCAGCCCGGGGATTGCTCGCATGCCACACCAGCCGAGAG